AATATTGTAACTTTTATTCATATATATTTTTTGTCTCCTCCATTAAATGTTTGCATGCTTTATAATGTGTATTATGTTGATGCATATATCATTTATAAGTTAAAAGTATACACACATTCAAGTGTTTGCTCAATAGTTTTTTACTGAGATCCAAGGTTACACAATCATAGACAATTAGAAGTCATAGGAGAATGAGGTCTATCTGGGTCACCCTGGCTGGGAGCCTGGGGCTCACTAGAAGTTCATTATATCGCCCAGCCACTGACAAAACAAGTCTTTCCTGGGTCTTTCTGCTCCACCACTGTATAGCTGCAGGTCTCCTTGTTGAAGATTTTCTGGCACTTGATTGTGTCATAATTCATAGGTATAGCAGCGCTGTCATTGAGACAAAAGCAGGCCTATTAGAAGGGATAGGATACCCAGCCTCCTCAGGGCCAGCTGTGTGCTGAAAGCAGCCCACACTCTAGCTGTCTGGGATGCCTCTCACCAATTTAAGGTCACCCCTTGGCTTGCAACCCCAAAGTGCTGCCTTTAAGAACTGGGACTTGAACACACAGAACCTGGGCTATGATCACATAGATCATCACTGACATCATTCCTAAGTTCCATCCTACATGCACGGAAGGACAACGGCAATTCTGAGAGGCCCAGAAGCAGGTGGGGCCACTCTGGGATCAGGTAGCTTGTCCCAGCCTGATTCTTCTTGCCCTCCCTGCTCAGTAATTGGCCAGCAATACTGCTCCTTGAATGTGGAAAGTGAACAGTTGTCTCATCCCTGTCATGGAGACCTATTAGTCTAGGAGTTAACTAAGCCAACAGGAACAGAGTCGCTCTAGGCCAGGATCATGGGATTCAGGGAGATGAAAACTGGGAATTATCTCCCCAAGAATGTCTATCCATACATTCAACAGTGCAAACAATGTTAGGGCTCATCACTCTCTTGGAATCCAACCATAAACCCCAGATTTAAATTACCGCGCCCAAAATATACACAGAAGCAGCCATCTTCAGAGCTCTTTTTGACAATGTTCCATTTTAAAAGGTAGCCTATGACTTATTTTAACAAAAGGGTGCATTTCGATCTTCCTCTCAAAGAGTAAGCTGGAAACGAAAGGGAGGACTGGAAATAGATTTTCCCAGGGCAGTGGGGAGGCCACTAGGCAGTAGTGTCCCTTAGTGAGTGAAATGTATCAAAAAATTCTCCCAGAGAAAATTTAATCAAAACCTGTATTTTGCTAGAGAAAAAAAAAAATCATGAGAAAAACTTGGTAGATGGTAAGGGAAATTACAGGGAAAAAGAATTTGGCTCTGAACAGTAGGGATAAATGTGCACATTTCTTCCATGTGAAGCAGTGTGCCAAATAGGATAGGCACATGGAAGGAAAAAGGGAAGGGGCACCTTGAGCCCTAAGTAGGTGTCAGTTTTACTGTCTCAGGCTCAGGAGACACAGAACTGGCATAGAGAAGGCATTAAATATTTGTTGAGTCAATGAATTTATATGCAGAATCTCATTTAATTCTCATATACGCCTGATTATCCTTAATATACAGTGAAGAAACTGAGTCTCAGAAATTAAGAAACGTATACATGGGCACACAGCAGGTATAAAAGGAAATGGAGATTCAGAGTCCGTTATTGAGGCTCTTCCCACTTCACTCTTTTCTATACTAGGTCCACAGGAATGCTAGAAGAGAGTCGTATTGACAAGGCTGTGATGATGCAGCACTGACCAGGGTGGGGGATGTCAAATCCTGATAACACGGAAGCTTTGGCCACTTTAGGGGTGTGCTGCAATCCAGGGAGGAACAGCTCACTAGGTGTTACAATTACAGTCCAGAGTCACATTTATACATGATAAAAAGACAACGTTAAATTTCTGGAGCCACAAAATCAAGGTTCAACTGTAATATGCAGTGACCTAGCTGAGGCAGTACCTGAGAACCTGCTTTGGGCAGCCAGCCAGAAAGTCTCCTGATCTGATATCCCTCTTGTTCCATTAAGCACCTACCATGGAGCATGCTCAATAAATGTGTTCAGAACTTCCTGGACACTTAAACTTTAGTGGCACTCAGATGCTCTGATTTAAGTCAGGTGCTTGCTGCTCTACTCACTGGTGGTATCACAAGACTCTCTCAGGCTCCTTAAACCCCATAGTTTCTGATTCAATAGGTTCTGGGGTGGGCCCCAGGAATCTGTATTTCAAAAAGCTTCCCAGATGACCCTGTGATCAGGCAAGTTTGGGAAACACTACTTTATGCCAATGCTTCATTTATCAAAGCCGCTCCTATTCTTGCAAAACACTATAGGCCAAGGCTGAAGTGAAGACATCAAAAGGATTTTGCAGGAAGTGAGAGGAGAACAGAGGTGGGAGGAAAAAAAGGAACAGCTGTATGGACGTAGCTGCTGAAGAAACAGGAAAATTAAAACTACACTGCAGATGCTCTGTTCTATCAGTCCAAGTACTAGACATCTGACATCCATAGCAACCCAGCAGAAAATATCTGTATGATCTTGGGCTAACTCAAGTTAAACTTAAGCAGTGAAGAAACTATGGTTTAGAGTGCAAGGTACACTATAGGTCATCCTTTACACATCACACCCATTTCCTCTGCCTGTGTTCAGACCCACTCCTGTTCTTGTGAATCACCACAGGCCAAGGCTGAAGCAAAGATCAGCAACTTCTAGAAATGCTTCAGACCATTAAGTACCCTTTCCTATCTTCAGCAAACCATCTGGATATAGATATTTAATAATAAAGATATTTACCAAGTTTCAAAAACAGCTTAAAAGAAATGACTGAGGTGGAAGAAACCAAATTGTCTATCAACTGATAAATGAATAAACAAAATGTTGTATGTACATATAATGAAACATTATTCAGCCTTAAAAAAGGAAAGAAATTGTGAGACATGCTATAACATGGATGATCCTTGAGGACATTTTACTGAAATAAGCTGGTCACAAAAGGATAAATCCTGTACCATTCCACTTAGAGTTGTCAGATTCATAGAGACAGAGAGTAGGATGGTGGTTGCCAGAGACTGGGGAGAGAAAGAAATGGAGAGTTGTTATTTATTGGGTAAAGAGTTTCAGTCTGGGATGAAAAAGTTCTGGAAATGGATGGTGGAGATGGTTGCACAAAAATGTGAAATGTACTTAATGCCACTGAATTTTACACTTAAAAATGGTTAAAATGCTAAATTTTATGTATATTTTACCACATGAAAGAAAGAAAAGAAAGAAAGAAAGAAAGAAAGAGAAAGAAAGAAAGAAAGACAGACAGACAGACAGAAAGAAAGAAAGAAAGAAAGAAAGAAAGAAAGAAAGAAAGAAAGAAAGAAAGAAAGAAAGATAGAAAGAAAGATAGAAAGAAAGAAAAAAGTAGGAATAAAAACTAAACCCCCTTCAGGATGAAATTTTGAAAGTGGAAGTAGCTGTACCTCAGAGAGTAGCCCAACAGCAGCGCATCCCCCTCTTGGCCCCGCTGGCTTGAGACTTACATGTTGCAACAGGAAATTCCATCTTGGCCACAAGAACATTCCTCACAGTTCTCAGTCTTCCACTTTGAGCTCAGTGGGTGTGTGACTCCATCGAGATCCTTACATTCTAAAATTATACACATGGCATCATCAGTACATGGCATCATCAGCCCATGGCATCATCAGTACATGGCATCATCAGCACATGGCATCATCAGTACATGGCATCATCAGTAGGGTTCCCAAGTTATGCAACCAGAACAAGGCCTGTAGGACACTGGGGCCAGCCCCTGCAATCTGCACCCCTCCCAGAGAGGGAGACTCTCATCAATTAAAAAGGCATTTAAAAGAGTGCTTCTGTGTTCACCCACAGCTAAATTCTGGTACTGTCCAGTTCATGCCACTGATCATGTTTACCTATAGCAAGCTTATTAAATCCTTTCAGATTTTATTTCAGAACAGCCATTTCAAGAAAAATAAATAAGTTCCTCCTCTTTAATCAGGTAATTATTATGATCCTAAAGGTACTTGGGGCCAAGTTTTTTCTTCTGGATTTTCTCTCAATGAATGTCTCATTTTTCCACTTCCCTTTTGCTTTGCTTCTCAACCTCAATGTGCATGTAGAACCTCTTCAGTGTTTTTTTTTTTATTCTATGCCTGGGCCTCACCCCAGAACAATGAAATCAGAATCTCTGGGCATGGGGCCCAGGCTGCCACATTTTTAGAAAGCTCCCCAAGTGATACAAATATTCAACCAAGGGTGAGAACCACTGCTTTAATCCTTGGTGGTTCAAGAGTGCTTTAGAGACTAGTAATATTGGTATCACCTGAGGCCGTGTTTGATATGCAAACTCTCACCCTCGTTCCAGGCCCACAAAATCAGAAACTGTATTTTCACAAGATTCTCAGGGGGTTTACACACACATTAAAGTGTGAGAAGTAGTGCTTTGGAATAATTGATGATTCTCTGGCCGCATGTAGGCATCAACTGAGAAGCTTTTAAATATGCAGCTTTTACCTCAGAGATTCTGATTTACCTGGTCTTGGCTAGAAACCGAGCATTGGTAGGTTTCAAAAAACTCTCCAGGCAATTCTCATATAGCCAGGGTTGAGAATCATTGTCTTATATAAATGGCAAACTGAAGTCCCTCATTTTACTCCATTCCTATAACTGCCTTAATCCTCCATCTCTTATAGACTTAAAGGCCATCATCTGCCAAAAGTTCACGTCTATCAGGCTGCAGTAAAATAATAAACTTGAAAAGCCAAGACTTACCATTAGATAAATCACCTGGAGTGTACATATTAGGCATGAAATAGCACTGGGCATTGCATAAAGTCACAAAGGTGGACCAAACCATGAGCCTGCACAGAAGAGCTTTCTGTAATATAAAATAGAATGACAAAAGGAGAATGAATGGATTCAGGTGGTAGTCATTGACTGAGTGTCCTATATGGGGATCTCTGCTGGACTCTGGCAGGTGGTTTAAAGGTGGAGCTTCTACCCTCAAGTAATCCAGCAAAAGAATAAGACCTACACAAGTTGCTAAAATAAACTGGAAAAAAAAGCAAAACGTGAGTCAAATGTCATAGGCCTATAATTATAGTATGCTATTTTATTACAGAAGAGGTTCAGAAGACCCTTGTAGATGTTGATTTTTAGCTGTTTTGCAGAGTATGTATAGTTCAAAGGACAGATACCCCAGTACGAACTTCATTTTCCAGGTGATAAAGGCATTGTTGATGGCTATATGAATGTATCAGTTCATCAAGCTGATACTGGATCTGCAGGACAAAGGAAAGTATCAAGTTGCTCTTGTCATCATTTTGAGATGAGCAAGCTAAATAAATAAACAAACCTTAATGTAGGAATTTTCAAGAACCTTTTTAAAAAGAAGATAGGGTGAGCGTACTTGTTCTATAAGAAGTCTAAAATTAATTATGAACTGCTGCTACTTGAAGTGCATTACTGATATAAAAATAAAATGTCAGGTAAAGTGAACAACATAGAAACCCCAGAAAGTACATTTATAAATACATATAAAAGTTTATTATAAAAGAAACAGTCTTCGAATGACTCAAGGATAGAGTCCAAACATGGTGAGTGGGGAGAGCAAAGTATTCATTTTTGAGATTAACCAGTTGACAATATCTTACATATAGCCTGCCATTGGCTCCTCGCCCCTTGCTTTGGCTTCAGTTTCTCTCCTGTTAAAAGAGGAGTTCTCCCACTTGATTGGAGAGGCTGCTGAGAGCTAATACACAGCCTTAAGCTCGTTGAAGGACAGGGCCAAGTCCTTTGCATCTTTACCAAGTACCCCAGGAGAGGAGCACAAGAAACAGGATCAAAAATAGTGCTGCTTTAATGTGGATATGAATCTCTGGGAGATCATGCTAAGTAAAATGCAGATTCTTCTTTGGTGGGACTCAAGAGTCCACATTTCTGGCAAGCTCCTAGATGATGCATATGCTGCTGGTCTAAGGACAACCTGAGTAGAGAGGCTCTAAAGTCCCTTCTTGTTTCCATATTCAATTCCTCCACCTCCCCCTCTTTCCTCCTTTGTTTCCTTTCCTGCATTCAGTAAAAGTGGCCACCTGATATGTGTAGGCATAGAAGGAAGTGTAGCGACAAGACAGGCATTTGTTTTGCTTTCTAGATGGTGTGGCTTCATGCCAGGCTTGGGGTGAAGTAGGCTGGCAGTGCCCCTAGAAATTGTGTCTCTGGGTAAGTTGCTGCTCCTTGTGTCTTTCCCATATGAATAAGAGTGAGGCATCTTCAAGGATCTTAACTTAAGTAGGGCAGGGGCATTGCCAGATCTGCAACTTACAAAGTTCACTCTGAGATTGGAGAAGGGGTCTGCGTGGAGCAGAAGGATCCCACCCCACCTCTTTTCTAGTATTCCAAGCTCCATCTTTCTGAGACAGTTTCTGAGATGTCGTCCAAGGGATGCCCAGAGTCCATTTCTGAGGATCCGCAAATCTCACTTGTCTACTCTTGTCTGTTGGCCACTTCCTTCCTCTTCTTCTTTGCATCCCTAGAGCAGCCCAGTTCATTCCCTTTTACTGGATCTAGCAAAGGATATTTTTAAAAGATCAAGTTTGAATTAAAGACAGGAAGGAGGCCTAGATGAGTTTTTATAGATTTCGGTGCAAAATTCTTTCTTGATACAACATGGTACACTGTGAAGGGTGATAGCTTCCAAATTTTGCTGAACATTAAAATCATCTGGGCAGCTTTTAAAAATCCAATTCTCAAGGCCACACTGTAGACCAATTAACTCACAGTGTCTGGTGTGGGAGTCAGGTATCGGTATTTATCAAAGATCCCCAGGTGATTCCACTGTGCAGTCCAGTTTGGGAGCCACTAGCCTAAAGAGGGGGACATGTGGGTTCCCATCTTAGCTCCCCACTGGCTCATAATGAGACCCCCATGGCAGCATCTTCCCCTCCCCAGGCTCAAGTTCTCATCTGTAAAATTATGCAGTGTTGTAGCTCTGAAATTATATTTAATTTCACAAGATTTAGAGACACATATAAACTCTAATTGAATGCTAAAATTACTGGAAGAAACAACAGCTTTGATCTTATAGAAATAGTGCTAGATTAATTAAGATTTTCACAAGCTCCCAGATTCTCATTACATTCTACATATTGAATTGCAAGTAATCTATAGAAGATTCATAACTAGGTCACAGTTACCATTAAATTGTATTTAGTAGAAACATGCATCATAACCCATTAAAATAAAGAATATACTATATACACTTTTTCTTTTCTGACCTTTATATAGGAAGCCAGTTACCTACCATTGTGACAAGCAGGAGTCCTTATAGGTATGTGCATCCAGGGAAAGTCACAGTAAACTTATATAGGAGAAGGCAATCACACATCTGGCATCATTAGGAAAGCTAATGTGCCAAGGACACACAGTGTTTACAGAGGGTTGACTAGCAACAGGAAACTGGTTTCAGATGATTTATGAATTACTCATAAATTACATCTCCACCCCGATTAGGTTTACTCTTGCCATCTCTACCCCTGAATATGTATTTGCTCTTGACATGAAAGGGCAGAGAAAAAGAGAACTTCCCTTTCCTGAGATATGTTAGACTGGGAAGCTTAAACAACAAATATTAATTTTCTACAATTCTGGAGGCCAGAAGTCTGAGATCAAGGTGATGGCAGGGTTGGTTTCTTCTGAGGTCTCTCTCCTTTGTTTGCAGATAGTTGCCTTCTTCCTGTGTCTTTACTGGGTCTTCCCTCTGTGTGCATCTGTGTCCTAATCTCTTCTTCCTATGAGGACACCAGTCATACTGGATTATGAGCTCACCTTAATGGCCTCATTTTAACTTAATTACCTTTTTAAAGGACCTATTTCCAAATACAGCCACATTCTGAACTTCAACATATGAATTTGAGGGGACACAATTCAGTCCATAACACCATTTTATCCCAAAATGTTCCCCCACAGCTGGCTACAGTGCCTAAAATTTTACCCTGTGTTCGCTCTATCCACAGACAAGAGCTCAGGCCTCAAAGAGCCAACTGGCTCTCAAAGCTCTTCAGAGTTAGCCACAGCGATCCTTTTCTGTGCCATCTTCTACCACTCCTAAAAACAGTCTTGCCACCACCCTATGCCACGTGGGTTAGCTCTCTTGATCCATTGAAGGGCTGCCTCCCCACACACCATGGACACCACAGGCTCCTGCATACTTCTGCTTTCACCTGCATATGTTTAAGCTGCCCCAGGGACTCTCAGTTCCTCGAAGTCGGGGCACATTCGTCGTGGTTGGTGGCCTCTCAATTTCTTTTGAAACACCAAGTTTGAAGAATTTCTCACAGTGTGAGTCCCACCTTATCTAGGACTAGGTCCTAACGTCCTTGTCACAGGCACGTCACCTAAGTTCCACAATCAGACACACATAGCAGGACTCCCTTAAAGAGGATTAATGGAAACTGGTATCATGTAGAGTCCCTTTGCAATGAAGGCAAACAAGGTGGTGCCTAGGACAAAGGTTTTTGCAGTCCAGTATGCTGTGACAGTTGTGCGAGGGGTAATGACTATGAGCAGTAGCAGAGATCTTGCTGGAGCCATCAGCAGTGGGGTTTTGGGTGACTCATCTGGCCTTGTGGCAACCAAATCTGTGTCTCTAGCTTTCCACAAAGACTGTGAGCTGACATCTTTAGTAAATTCCTTTTTTGCTCACACAGACTGGAACAGGTTCTGTTGAAGCAGGTCACAACTAAGAACTTTGTGATGAAGACAGTGTCCATAACTTATTCCTGTCTATATCCTTCTCAAAGACTGGCACAGTCTCTGGTGCAGTGCAGCCATGCCAAGTAGAACTACACCTGGTTTTATGCAGATGTCCCACATGCCAATCAGTGCCATAGCTAAAAAGAGCTCATCTGCCACTCACTAGGTGCTGGCAAGAAGGTTGTCCTATCTGCCCCTACCCAGAAGCTCAAATTGTGGCTTATGATGGGGGAGGAATGTTGTGAACAGGTGTGGGTGCCACTCCTTGATTTTGACCTTATTTCAACTTTCATCTTAACAGACTGAACAAACCTTATTGTCCCCTTAATTAATTAATTAATTAATTAATTAAAGAGGCACATGTGTATGTACACACACACACACACACACACACACACACACACACACACACACACACACTCCATACGTGTGGCCGAAAAAGAGAGAACAGAGATAAGCAAAAAGAAAAATGCTGTTTGTTGTACTGTCCCAAGAGAGCTGTTGTCAGAATTTTGGAGGATTTCCTTTAAGAGCATCCTAGGCATATTTTCATTTAGGAGAGACAAAATTACATACACTTTTGCCTAATTTGGGACATTGTACATACTGTTATACACAGGTTATAGCATAGTTGTGCAATCTGCTTTATTCATTTAGTAATGATATGACCATACTTGCATATCAATAAATAGAGGTCTGATCACTATTTTAATGGCTACATTTTACTACATGGAATGGCTAAGCCTTCATTTATTTGATTAATCACCTTTTGTTGAACACTCAGGTTGTTTCCGACTTTTCTTTTAATTAGAATTTTGACCTTTAGATAAAATTTTCCACACGTTAATTTCCTCAGGACAAATTTGTAGAGATAGAATTTCTGGGTAAAAGGTATTATTATTTCATTATCTGGTAATCTGATAGGTTGGAAATGTTATTGTTTTTTAATTTACTTTTCTTTGAAGTTGGGCAAGAGTAGACATTTTTTGGTATACTTATTGGCCAACTGTATTCCTTCTTCCATGAGTAGCCTGTTCACTCGTATCCTTGTCTTACTTTTTTTTTTTCTTTTGGGGTGTTTATATTTTCCTTCCAGATTAGTAAATAGGCTCTTAATATTTTAAAGATATTAATCTTCAATTGTTGCATACACCACAAATATTTTCATCACTTTTTCATCTAACACTGACTCTGGAGTTAGACCTGAGGAATAAGAAATTTTCCTCCATTCTATTTTTACCTTTAAAGTGATATGTTTTGACATATAGAGATTTTAAACTTTTAGTTAGATCTATCAAGTATTTATTATATGGTTCCTTGCCTTAATTTTATATGTTTAACAGCTAGAAAGGTTTTAAAACCTTTACTTTTAAATAGGTAATACATGTGCATTTAAAACATTTTAAAACATTTTACTTTTAAATAGGTAATACATGTGCATTTAAAATCCCCTTTTAAAAAAATAAGTCTCTCCTACTTGTCCCCCAGTCTCTCAGTTCTTCTTGCTAGAACTCATGCTATTTGGAACACAATTCTTGATGTGTTGCACACACTGTTCCGTGTCTTGCTTTCTCCTTTTTGTGCTCTATTCTTTCTAATGGCTGCCTAATATCCTACTGTATGAATGTACTAAAATTTACATAATCAGTCTCCTATCAACAAGATGGCTATTTAAGTTGATTCCAAGTTTTGCTATTACCAGCCATGCTACTACCATTATGTGCTCATATACCTCTGAGCCCCATTCCCATTTTTTTAAAACTTTTTACCTTGGAATAATTTGAGATTCACAAGAAGTTGCAAAGTACAGAGAGTTCCTGTGTACCCATCTTCTGCAATGATAACATCTTAAATAACCAAAGTTCATTTTCAAAACCAAGAAATTGGCATTGGCACAATAGTACAACATTATAACTGAACTGTAGACTTTACTCTGATTTCATCAGTTTTTATATGCCCTTTCTGGTCTGTCCAGTTCCCATTTAATACAATTCCACTTGGCTTTCTGGGGTTTTTTCACCCATGTTACTTTAGAAGCAGTGTCGAGTAACTGGAGGCTCACCAATACATGTGATACGTCACTCTGACCCTGTCACTTGCCCAGAGTAACACTGGGTCATGGTCTAAGCTCTTCATAATTGACAACCTCCACTAAATAGCTTTTATAAAGGTCTTTGATACATTTTCTATTTACCTTTGTGTGTGCGTGTATATGTGTGCACTATATCTGGTGGAGCAAGAAAAGCCTATGATTCACACCACTTTTAAAACACTGGTGGAGGAGCACGTGTGCTCTCCACATTGCACCAGGAGACTGTGTACTCTATGCCAGCCTCTTCCTCCACTCAAGTCACTAATGGCATCTGAGGGTGGTTACCAGGCTATCCCAGGCTCCAAGAAAATATTCCATTACTCTCCTTTGAAATGGACTTTCAAGGCAAAGACTGTTGTGCCAGTGTATTCTATATTGCTGTAGTTAAAAAAGACAAAGTGAAGGAACTCTTCTGGGCAATTGTTTTACTCAGCTGCCAGGTTTTTATGAAGAATAGTGTTCTGGTGGGGTTACACTGTTCTAGGCTGTGATACTTGACATGTGAGTATATGAACAAAGTCACTGCTGATTTTGACCTGTGACCCCACGGGGTTGTACCAAACTCCCAAGAAGCCTATATATGAATGTCAACTTAACAGAGTCCCCTTCATGACACTGGGGAGGGAAAGGGAAAAGGAACAACATGTATGAAGAGGCTGCCCTGCAGTAGACTGTAAAAGGGGTTTTCATGATGAGGTCCCTACGTAGTCCCACTCTACAGAGAGGAAACAGAAGACCCTCTCACTATCCCACAGCTTGTAAATGAGAGTACCTGCATTGGAACTCAGATCTGCCGGCTCCCAATCTTCACTCTCTCCTGTATCTCACTGTATCTGATGACCACAGTCTCCTTCTTTAGAAAACACTGCCTGAGTTGCTGGGTAACTGCAGAATCAGAACAAGGAGATTTAGTGTAGAGGTTAGGACAGAAGTAGGTTCTAATCCAAATTCTTCCCCTGCATAGCTGTGTGACCTTGGGCAAATTTCTTAACATCTCTGGCCTTTATTTTACTCGTTTATTAAATAGGAATGACGATCTCCTTGTCAAAGGATTTGCATAAAAAATAAATGAGAAATGTGTCTAAAGCATTCAGCCAATTCCGGATAAAGGGTGATGTCATTTTTTAAAATGGTGGCACCTTCGAGCAACAGCAGTTTGCTGCATCTTTCTCTCCTGTGAATCTGGTGGCTGAAGTCTCCTCTACTTTGAGAAGTGTTAGTGATGCCCTGCCCAGTTCTGTCTCTGTAATATGCCATCTGCCTTCACACTGGGACATTTCCATGAGCCACGAGCATGAGTGCACATTTCAGTAGGAATGTACCCTTCCTATTGTGTGGTCTGCAGCTGGTGATTCTGGTGAAGAGGGAAGGTGGGAGAAGCTGCCTTCTGTAGATGGGCGATTTTGGTACATGTAGGTTTTTACTTGCTAATTTCCTCTCGGAGGTAGCTTCAACTTCACATTTTATGAGATACCTTGTGACATCCCATCGTATCTGCTGAGTAAACACCTTTTCTGTTGATCCCCCCACCTCACTTTCTTGTAATTTGGTCCTCTTCTCTAATTTCACAGATGATCCTTTGGAAAAAAGATGGATCAAGTATTGGCACATGCAAGAATTTTAATCATTTGTTTGACAAATATTTGTTGAGTGCCCATTCAAGGCCTTCTGATTGCTTAGCAAATCCTTTGAGTCTCAATCCAGGATTATCTTATTTTCAGAAATATAGCTTTCCTAACTTAGCCCAGGGGAATTCATGTTTGCTGAATTGATAGATTGCCGGTATTTTAATTAAATTAACATAGATTTCTGCCTCCCATGGGAGACAGATGCTACAGAAAAACATTTCTGGCCCTTTATATGTACCTACTTGTTTTACTGACTTGATTTTACAAGTGAGCCTTTAAAACAGTTTCACTGTAACAAATCCTATTATATCTATTAAACAGCAACTGTTGTAATCTGTAGCATCTCAGAGCTGAAGGAGCCCTTGGAAGATTGCATACTCTGACCTTATAGACCAGGACTGAGCTTGAGAAAGTCCAGTGACTAGCTAGTAAATTGTAGAGTCCCATACATTGTCAGAGGGAAATGACTATGGTCTCAGGCAGCAGGGCAAAGGACAGATGAAGAATGAAAGTAGGTGTCTCAGGTGCTTCCCTCCAGGACTACTGCAAAGACCAGGCTTTTCTCTCTATACTTTTCTTTCTAAACTAGGCTTTTCTTGCTATAATTATGACAAAGAATGTTCAGGAGTTCCTGTTGGACACCATTGGTCTAACTTTTAATCTCTTGGGATGAGCTATCTTTGAAATGGGAAATACTATTTTGCCAGCAGAAGCTTAGACCTGCTGATACTTGATTGATTAGGTGGCAATGGGAGAGAATATTCCATTCTCTATCGCCACCTAAAACCTAATAAGCTACTGTAAGATGGTTTTTGGAAGCCAGGTTTTGGAATTTTCATAATGGATATTGTTCCTGTTGGTAACTCTCTCTGGGAATTTTGGCTACTGTGGTCAGAGGTGTTATCTCACTTGACTGCAGTTTGCCATACAAGGGAAGATGTATTCCAATAGGATGTCAGCTAAAGTGTGAGTTCCTCAGCATCCCACCTCCTACTGCACCACCCTATCCCCACCTGCGGATTGACCCTACAGGTTCCTTCCCCAGCTCTACCCCACAGAGCTGCTCACCACCTAGAGCCACATGGCCCTTGGTGAAGCCACTGAAGAGTTGGGTTCCCAATCAGTGGGGGCCTCATTCACCAGTCTTCAAGTTGATTACTTGTCTCCCATCTGTCATGGTCTAGTTGTTCTCCAGAGCCTTTCCAAGCTGTCATCACATCTCTTAAACCTCCCACCCATGCAGGCTTCCTTCACACCCTGAAGATAATCTCACTGCTTATCTCATAGAGACCAGAGCTGAGAACTACCTCACCTGTCTTCTACACATTGACTTGCACCTTCTCCTAACCATTCAACTGTCCCTCTGGGTCCCTTCCCTGTCCCAGATGTGCCATCTGGATCTCAGTCCCCTGCTCCACACACACCTTCCCAAGGACTTCTTCCATCTTTTTTGGTGACAAGTGGGCTAAAGGGACAGATGGAAAGTATCTAGCACATGTGAATTGTTGAGTTCCAACCAGGAAAAAAGAGATCCTCACTGGAGATCCAATCGCCTGTCTGTTTTTCATTTTAGAGTCTGATACCACACCGCAGGACCAGTTTCCACAATTGTTAAGATATTGTCAGCCATATTAGAAAAATGAACTTAAACTAGCACAGGCAAAAAGATACATTTTGGGTTTAAGTGTTCGGTCCAGAGGTGAACTAGCTTCTAGATTTACAGGCTCAGACTATGTCAGACCTTATGATAGTTTTCATTTTCCAGCAATCAGAAAGTTGGAGGCTGATGGAGGCATATGTACTCATTTATGCAAAATGATTATGCCCATCTATTTCAACAATAAGACAAATCCAAGTTCATATGCCAATAGATGCAGCAGAAGGTCTTTGACAACATCAAGGATGCAATAAGGTGAACAAACCCCTATGGGGCAAGGGTGACAATGAGACACAGATTCCGTAGTTCCAAGGAAAACTTATAATGAGACTGTAAAGCCACTAATAGAACAGTAAGCACTGTAGTAGGTATGGGTCTCCTGTGCCATCCAGGGGCACTGTCTACTTTGTCTAACCTGGGGAGATATTAAAAGAATGTGCATGAAGCTAGGAAGCCAGGGACCGGGAATACTGCTGGTAAATAACTTTTTTCCCCTGCAAGACAATTATCTAGAAAAGTGTGAAAACAACAAATGAAACACTGAAATGAAGAAGTAGAGTTAGAGCAAACAAACATGTCTGGAATTAACCACTGAGGAACCTAACCAGATTTTATCCTAGAGAAAGGGCAGATCCAGGAATCCCCAAGGAGGCTCAGAATCTTATTTGTCAAGTGGATTAAAGGCTATTTGGTCAAGGATCGTGTGTTTACGGTTTAGAGCAATTATGCAAAGAACCCAGAAACCACTGCTTCCCTGACCTTAATGTACTCTTTGTGAAGTGAATGCTTGCTTTCTTTTGAAAATAAGGTGGTGACAATAAAGGCTTTGGTTGGTGACAGTTTCTTTCTTCTTTCTGGGTGGTATTCAAATGTTGAACAACCAGCATGACTCAACCATTGACCCATTAGTACAGTTGCCAGCAGTCTGTCTGTGAGCCCCTACTGTGCCAGATGTTGCCTCTTTCATTTCTGTGTCTGGTGAGGTATAAAGGTGCCAGGATATTCAGCATGATGGGTGGAGACCCTCTGGGGTCTCAGAGCAGTGGCCATTTATCCACCTGTACCTCTAAACTGATGCACACCAGCACCACCAGCCCTGATTCTCTTTCTTCATAGAGCACCTGCAAAGTACATGTGGCCACCAGAATCAGAGACAAAAAAGTCAGCCAGCAATCTTCACAGTTCACTAATAGCAGTGCCTTCCAGAAGCCCCTTGGGATTGAGGGCTAAGAGGCAGGAGTAGAGTAGGAGAGTTTTGTGGAAGACAGCAGAAGATATGTTCAGAGACTGAATCGTCTTTGCCAGAATTTAATTAGCACAGGTTTGCTGTGGAATTATAACAAATTTGCAAACCTATAGTATATAGGATAATATCTCTTAATAAGCCAATTAAGAAATAACATACTCCAAACCAATAACAGATTAATCACACTATTGTTCCAGGCAAAGGGAGGTGTACTGTTTTATATGAGAAGGCACTCGAGAGAGTTGGCTACCAACCGAAATGCTGATTTCAGCTGCCTGCACAAAAGTATAATTCCCCCGTTGCTAGAGAATGAAGACACCAGTGCTGGTGGGCCTGGTGATCTCTTTCACTGGCCACTATGCCGTTTATCACCACTGTCCAGGAGTGTCTTTGCCAAAACAGGCACAAATGCCCCAAAGCTGTTCCGAGAGTTTTTAGGTTAGTGTAAAGTTGCCTCACCCTGCAAAATTTTTTGTACCAGACTCTTGTTAAAAATGGAAAGACAGGTTTTATTCAAATGATGGCAGTAGGGGAGGCTCTCTAGTATAAACTGAGCTCAACTCCACAAAAAAATAAGGCAGGAAGCATTTTAAATGCTGAGCTGTGCTAAAGGAAAAGTACTGAAGGACATTGGAGTGGAGAGAGATTTGGTTAGTGTGATTAGGCCATCTGTGTTACTAACTGGTGCTTATAGAAGTTAGGCTCCTATCCTCCCACAGAGATTGGGAGACCGAGGGCTCTATCTTTGATGATTACTTTTCAAAGGGTTAGCTCTCAGGTCCTAGAGAAAGAAATTTCTGGGGTGATAGAAGCTATATCTCAAACAGACAGAGAAATGATGTTTTACAGTTATAAGTTTTCTGTAGTAAACGTTCTAAAAAAAGGGAGGTCGGGGCCTATAGTCAGGTGTTGACTGGAACAAACAGTAAATTCTTTTGGCAGCATTGAGTTTTCTCAGGGGTTGTCATTCTAGGGATATAGCCTTGAGCTGTTAGAAACTGTGCTAGTGTTTGTTCAAGTCTCTTAGTGTTAGGGAATGGACAAAATTGTGCAGAGTCTGCAATTCTCTTACACTAAGGCTAAAGCCCAATCGAGAAGAAGGCTCAGAGGCAGCTGACTAAAGTTTGGTCAAGAAGAGAATTTTTGTCACTAAAAACTCACTGTAATCAAGACGGTGTGGTACTGGCATAAGAACAGACTTAAAGATCAATGAAATAGAATTGAGAGTTCAGAAATAAACCCTTTATATGTAGTCAGCTGATTTTAACATCCAGCAAATATTTATCTCAAACCAAGTATGATGCTAAATTCTGGGATTATTGAGATACTAATTATGGGCTGTTATTCAACTCTCCATTTCGTGAAGAGCATATTTTGTGTTAAGGGATATGGCAGAAACATAAGGGAAGTACCAAGCAACCATCGATCTGTTTTCAGTTTTCCCACTTATAAAATATGGTGGTTGGACTAAATCGTTATTCTCAAACTTTAGAGTATATAAGAATCACCAAGAAACTCCTGAAAATACAGGTTCCTAGGACCCCCCACCCTTCAGAGTATAATCTCATAGGTCTGGGGCTCAGGAATATGCATTTTTAGCTAGCCTGCTGCCACCCGCCCCCTACCGCCCCCGTTGATTCTGACACAGGGAGCACATGTAAGAAATATTGGCCTAAAATATCTTTGATTTCTATATTGTGAAAATGTACAAATTTACCTTTTGGTTGCATTGGCAAGAGTCTGACAAATATATAAGCAATAAAATGTTCATTATAGCACTGTTTCTTCTAGGAAGACACATACAAAGAGACAGACAGACAGAGAGACAAAGAGAGACAGAGACAGAGACAGAGAGAAGGACGGGAGGGAATCTAAATACCCATCTACAGAGAACTCGTAAAGAAACTATCATAGTCATAAAGGATGACTAACGAGCTGTTAAAAAGGAATGAGGTCGTTCTCTATGTACTGATATATTAAAGAACTCTAAATATACTTTTAAGAGTAAAAAGGGAGATGCCAAACACTGAGCATGACAAATTATGCTTTCCAAAGATGGCCATAATATCTGCTCTTCTGCAATGTCTCCCCACTATTAAGCATTAAGTCTATTTCCCCTCCCCTTGAATCTGCTTAACAAATGGAATACGGCAGCTGGGATGTTCTGGGACTTCCAAGTCTAGGTCGTACGAAAGCTTGTAACATCTGCCTTGGTCACTTTTGGGACAGTCCTCCTCAGAATCCACTGGTAATGTTATGAGAAGCCCAAGCCTCATGAAAAGATCATATGCCAACACTCCCTTACGCGGTGTAGGGGCTCACCTTAGTACATCCCTGATGCTGTCAAAGACCTTCTGCTGCATCTATTGGTATATGAACTTGGATTTGTCTTATTGTTGAAATAGATGGGCACATTCATTTTGCATAAATGAATACATATGATAGCATCAGCCTCCATCTTTCTGGTTGCTGGAGAATGAAAATTCTATCATAAGGTCTGATGTAGTCTGAGCCCGTAAATCTAGAAGCTAATTCACCTCTGGACTGAACACTTAAACCCAAAATGTATCCTTTTGCCTGTGCTAGTTTAAGTTCATTTTTCTAATATGGCTGACAATATCTTAAGAACTACGGAAACTTGTCACGATATTATTGACTATATTTACTTTCACCCTTTTTACCTATCCCCACCATCTACTTCTCCTCTGGCAACCAAACCTTAGGTCTCTGTTTCTATGAGTATGTTTTTGTTTTGTTTTGTTTGTTCTTTTTTTTTTCCTTTTAGGTTCCACATATAAATGAAACCATACAGTATTTGTCTTTCTCTGCCTGACTTATTTCACTTAGCATGAGACTCTCTAGGTCCATCCATGTTGTTGCAAATGACAAGATTTCACTTTTTATTGCTGTGTAATATTCCGTTGTGTGTATACATACATATATATACAAATATGTATATCACATATTCTTTATCCATTCTTCTATCGAGGATGCTTCCATATATTGCCTATTGTAAATAATGCTGCAATGAACACAGGGTGCAGATATCTTTTCAAACTGGTGTCTTTATTTCTCTTGGGTAAATACCCAGGCTAGATTATATGGTGGTTCTAAGTTTTAATTTTTGAGAAACTTCTATACTCTTTTCCATAGTGGTGGCATCAACTTAAATTCCCACCAACAGTACACAAAGTTTCCTTCTCTTTTCTCCACATCCTCACCAATTCTTATTTCTTTTCTTTTTGATGAGCCATTCTAACAGGTAACATCTCACTGTTTTCATTTCCATTTTGCTGATGATTAGTGGTGTTGAACATCTTTCTTTTTTCATTTTTCTCCCTGAGAAAGCTCAGTATTTATTTTTTTCTTAAAGGCTTTTTTATTAAAATGTAACTGACATGCAATATTATGTACACCACAGTTATTCAACATTTATATACCTAAGAAAGTGATCACTATGATAAGCCTAGTAACAATATGATACCTACAATACTATTGACTACATCCCTATGCTGTATATTACACCTACATGACTCGTTTATTTTATAACTGTAAACTAGAACCTCTTATTCCCCTTCACCTTCCTTCCTTTAAAATTTTTTTCAGTTACAGTTCATAATCAATATTATTTTTTATTAGTTTCAGGTATACAGCATAGTGGTTAGAGATTTATATAATAGAAGAAGTGATTCCCCAATTAGTCTAGTACCCAGCTGGCACTACATATAGTTTTTACAATATTATTGACTATAATCCCTATGCTGTACTTTACATCCCTGTGACTGTTTTGTAACTATCATTTTGTTCTTAATCCTTTTACCTTTTTCACACAGCTTCCCAACCCACCTCCCATCCATTTGTTTGTTCATCAGTTTGTTCTCTGTCTCTATGAGTCTGTTTGTGTTTTGTTTGTTCATTTACTTTGTTCTTTAGATTCCACGTATAAATGAGATCATATGGTATTTGTTTTTCTCTATTTGACTTTTTCCACTTCGCATAATACCCTAAAGATTCATCTGCAGTAAGTCCATTTTAAGCTCTATTTATGTTTAAAGTAATTAATAATAACCACACTTTAAGAATCATTAAAATCTTGTAGACAGTCATATTTTATGATTTCTCTTAATTAGCTGGTCATGGTTCATAATTTCTGACAAAATTTAAAGTTTTGATTTTAGAGAGTTTTTTGTCTTTACATTAAATGGCAGAAAAATACAACAGAGGAAATGTTGCCACTTATAATAAACTGGAGTCAAGTTTAGTCTTACTTAAACCTTGTCTCAATTTGATTAGTTAGTAAATATAAACTTTCTGCTTAGCTTCCTGGATTTAAATATTCTGTATTTAAATATTCCTGGTTGAGCCAGGAGAAGTGATCCACAACACAGTAAAAATACTTTCAGATACAAGCGATATACTTTATATTCTTTTATTAAACCTTTCTTAAGATTTCACTTATAGTTTTTGTTTTCAAAGACAGAACATTTAAAAATTTTTCCAAATATTTATTGAATACTCACTTCAAGGCTGACACCTTCTTTCGCATTATGTATATCAAGCCCATTAAATACTCATAAAACCTTACATTATAGTCTTCACTCTATAGACAGGGAGACTGAGGCACAGTTTGCCCAAGGTCACATTTCTAGTGTGTGATGGAGTCAATATTTAAACTCTTATAAACTAATCCCACTGCCCAAGTTCTTAGCCACTCTACTGTTTCTTGATGAGTTTGCAGACTACTCCTTGCCCTTGTCACTCTCTACCATTGTTCTTGCCATCACACAAAACCCTTCTTTCTCTGCTTTGACACCTCTGCTTGCTCAAGTGCTATGCCTCACCTGCTCCAAAATGTGGACTGACCTCAGTGACAGGAGGATGCAAGCTTATGTCCCTGTCTTTCACCAGTCCTCCAATCCTTAAAAAGCAATGTTGCATAAGGTAGACACACAATATAAATGTTTGTTCCATGAATGGCTGGATTAAAATGAATAAACTATATTCACATAACCTAATTTTCTCTTTTATTTTTCTCAAAGAAATTTCTTTGGACTCATTAGATCTTGAGAATCTTTTATGTGAGCCCAATTAGAGAGTTTATAAGTTGTTTATTGATACATATAAAAGCGGACAGATTGGTACGGAAGGTATTATTTTACTGAGGAGTAAATAGTCTTAGAGAGAAAGCGAAAGTTACCTAAGTTTAGTTATCTAGCTAGTTGGCATTCAGAAGTATAAAGAGAATAGGCTAAATGCATCAGACACAACTGGGCTCAAATTTTGGTTCTGCCATGTGAATTTGGACAGGTAACTTAATGTTTTTAAGCCCATTTCTTCATTTTTAAAATATGTGCATTTATGACTATTCTTTAGGATTGTTGGGAAGGTTAAGGTAATACAGGTAAAACTCCTACTAATTGCCTTCATAAATGTCACATTTCTTTTATTCTAACTCTGGATCCAGTGCCTTTCTCAGAGTATAGAGGGGCCTCTCTTAGAGATGTGTCTAGCAGGTTCCACCAAATGGAAGCTTGTGTATATCAACAGTTAGAAAACTTTTAATACCAAGTGTCTTTAACAGGAATGTAAAAGCAAACAGACACACATAAAAACATCTTTGTGTGGGCAAGAGTATACAAGGAGATGACAGATGGAGGTAATATTCACTCTCAAAAGCTTTATGCAACCTAAAGCAGAATTTTAAGTATAGAAAGGGAATGTGGGAGACAATTTCAAGCTTGCGAAGTATTTGACTAGCTTAAATAGCAATAAGAGTTAAATCTATGCAGTGCTTTATGAATTTCTTTACATTGTTTTTTTGGTTTAGTTTCGTAGTCCAGTTATGCTCATTCTGTTGATGGACATGCTGAAGGAGCTTTAAGATGCCTAGCTAATAAGGGACTCAAATCCAGTTCTAACTTTTTCCAGAGTTGGAGCTCCTCTCAAATTCCATGCCGCCTCTCATCTGTTATATCCAAGTGCACAGAGATCTCTTTCACTCATACTGTTTAAAGCAATGCCTCAAATCTCACCACATAGAAATGAAGATGTCACAGTCACTAGAATCATTATAATCAAGCTCACACTCTTGAGGTCTGGGATGAACACTAAGAAACCATCCATAATTCTGAAAGACATGAAAATGGTATTAGTTTTAACATATTTATAAATGTGTTATATTCATTGTACAATAAACATGCCTAGGTTGAGCTGCAGTTTGAGGACATGGCCTCCTTTTCTCCCCAGTTAGCCTCACACTGCTTGGTCAGCACCTTCACCATCTTCCACACTGCTGGGAAAGGGCTTTCCTTTTCCCTTTATGCCCGGGTATTCTGTTCTACAAAGCCCAGACTCGTGCCCTATCATAAGATCTAATCCTGTATTACTTTTCCAGTCATCTTTACTTTACCTTTGTCTCCCTCCTACCTGCGACAATAACCAGAAAAGAAAAATAAAAAGTAAATAAGCATATTTCCTTATCTGGTTTATCCTTAAGTCAAAAGGAGGAGGGACTAAGATAAATATTTAATAAGTATTTAATTTGCCTTAGAGTCAAAAGGAGGAGGAACTAAGCTAGATAAATGATGATAACATTTAAGGTAGATAAACATGAAGTCTTGTTTATTTCCCCAAATTAACTGTATAATAATGGGGTGGTATTGACAATATTAGCCAAAGAAGCTTGCCCTTTGTTCTCACCCTACTCTACTTTCTGGTACCCCTGTGCTGAGTGTAGGGTGCTACCTAAAGTAATTCAGAAAGAAGTGATTCAATGCTCAACTTTTAATTTCAGAATAGACTTGCGCAGCCCATGGCAGAGATAATAGTTTTAAAAGAAAAAAGGCTTCAATTCAGCATCAAAAAATACTTAACACCTGCCCAGATTAGATGAAAATCCCATAAACCTGGGGAAAGGAGAGAGTTGGAGAGGGGAGCAGTACAGTGAATCACTGATGTTGGTCCCTGAAAGGGAACTCTGTGTCTTTCCCATTGTCTCATCCAGGGTGGGCAGCAGAGGAAAGAGTAGAGATAACAGAATCCTCAGTATGTGAGAGGATCTTCAAGTGGGGAAAGGAAAGCTGTGCTCATTTCTTGTGGGGCACAGGGAGACCAAGAGAGGTCTTTGAATATTCCTATACTGTAGGACACAGTGACAGCAGCTGTGTGGAGCAACATCTTCTGTCTCCTGGGCTTCTAGGGTGGTGAGGGAACACATCTAAAAGTGCCCCTGTGTTCTCTGAGAGGCCATGGGGTCCACAAGAGCCTTTGCAATGAGGACAAGTAAGAGTCTAGTGTGTGGTGGGATACTTTGGACATATTTCCAAGTGTTTCATCATACCCTTTAAGTCTGTTGCCTCAAGACCTCCCATCCATTGAGTCAGGGAGGAGGCAGGTGCCACTCTGAACAAAGGGGTCATTGTTCTGCTTTGGGCTTCTGTTCTGAATTTCTACCAAGACAATGCTCTTGAAGGTTTGGACTGATTCAGAAAGAGATTCACTGTTCTTTAAGATTAGGACAGCCCATGTCTACGTTTATGCCTGTTGTCTCACATTACTAAGGACCCCCCTTTCAGCTTTTTTGTAGTGAGGGAAATGTTCTAAATTTCTGTTATGGTGGTGGTTATATGGATGAAAAATGAGTTCTACAGAAAGTTACCTCACAGAGTGATCTGATCATAAATTCCTAACCTGCAGGTCATAGTGGATTGTCATGCCCAGGCATGTAACTTCTTTAGTAAAAGGCTTAACTTTGCCTTAAAGAAGCCCTGTCTATTGTTCTTGTGCATCTAGGTTAACACACTTTTGAAATGCCTCCTTTTCAGACCCCTCAGAGGTTAAGCCACCCTCAAGGGAGCACATAATCTTGTTAACTATCCTGTAATCCAATCCCTGCCTTGCTTTCACCCACCTTCATGTAATCTTCCTTAGATTAGATTCTCTCCTTAATTTCAAATGCATAAAAGAAACTGCAAATTCATTCTCGGGAGCATTTAAGACCTTGCTCCCTGGCATATGTCACAGTTTGGCTCAAATTAACTCTTATAAAAATTTTTTATAGGTTTGGATGTTTCTTACGTTGACAGTTACACAATTCTACACATTTGTCAAAACTTTTCCAACTGGACACTTAAACTAGATGAATTTTAGTGTATATAAATTAAATCTCAAAAGTGATTTTTTAAAAAAGACAAGATGCTGAAACTAGTGAATGGAAGTTTAATGAGGGACAGAATGTGGACAGAAAAGGAGCCACATAATAAACCTGAGAAGTTCAGGGGAGGCCCTCAGAGGCTGAAAGTAACCACACAGGGTGATTTGAATGTAAAAATTTCTAACTAAAAGAGGGTCATGGTGGGTAGTCACATCCTAGGCCTGTGGCTTCCTTAACAAAGGTCAATCTTTATCTTTGAAATTGTCTATTGTCTTTGTGCATCTAAGATAACATACCTTTGAAATGTCAGAGTAATTTTCTTTTCCAGACCCCCTGAAGGCACAACCACGGACACCAGAGCACAAGACTACATTGTTATCTTATTATTCACATACCATCTCTATGTGCTGTAAATATTAACTATCTTGTACCCACCAATGTAAAAGAAGTATGTGTCTCTCTGTTTTACTTTTCATCCACTCTCAGAGAGTCCCCCACTTTGCTTTCTTCTCCCACCCTAATCTACCACCACTGAATTTCATGCAGCCCTCCTATGTCTCTTCCTTTGATTCTAATGTCTAAAATAAGCTGCAGAACTGCCATTCTCCAGAGCATTTTCTCAATCTATAGAGATTTTGCTTCTTGGCAATTGTCATCAATTTGCTCAAATAAACTCTTATAAGACTTTTTTTTATAGGCTGGACATCTTTCATCAACAAGAATATTATATTGTCTCAAAGTTTCCCCTCCAAATTGCTTATCAATTACCAAAGGAAAAATAGTAATTTTCAATGGAATAAAATGATACCATTTTAACAAAGTAATCAAAACTAATTGCTAATGATGGGGCAAAAATGAGTTTCCTGCTATGATGCCCTGAGGACGTTATTTGTGGAGTTCCTGCCAAAATTATAAAACTTAATCTAATTATAAAGAAGTATCAGACAAACCTAGTCTGTAAAATAACTTGCCCATACTCTTCAAAATTATCAGGGCCATCAAAGATTAAAAAAAAAAAAAAAAGGCTGAGGAGATGTTTCCAGTTAAAGGCAACTAAAGAAGTATGATGTCTAAATGCAATCTTTGATCCTAGACCAGATCCTGAACTCTAATATAGAATATTAGGACAATTGGCGAAGTGCTGCGGTCCAGCCACGACAGGATCCAGGGGGCCCCGAAGGCGGGCAAGGCGTCAGCGCGGGAGACAGTCGACTACACAACTCAGAGGCGGTGTGACACTGTTCCGTTTTATTATGATTTGAGTACAACTTTTATACTTTTTATTTTGGCATTTGATTATACTTTGTAGTTAAGGTAGCAGGGAGTTAAATTTCTGTGGTTAGGCGAAGCAGAAAATCTTATAGAGTATATTATTATTAATATTCATGATTAACTAGTACATTTTTCTCTCAATCATTAGAACAGAACTACCCGATGGAGCAATCTAAACTTTTAATTCTTATATCTATTACGTAAGATACAGTTTGATTTAAGTAAAGGTGATAGATAGATGTATTCATAACAGCAAGCATTGGCTTAGGGGCAGACATTGTTCTTCTTTCTGCCTGAAGAAATCTTTTAAATGCTATTTGATTTATGCTATATCTAAAGTTCAAGCTGAACCTTTCTCATAGCTGTTCAAAAGTTTCCTTGGTGCAGTAATGAGGAAAATATTTATAAAAATCAGTTTTACAAAGCTGCTTTCATAAGCTAAGTTTCTGTTCCTTTGTTTTTTAAGCACCAAGGAGGTCCTGACCTAGCCAGCCTTTCTATGAAACTTAAACTACTATAAGGCATATGAATTCCATCTTTATTCACTATATGTATACTATCTTTATTATAAGCTCCTGTATAAGGCAAAGGAAGATCAGGTAATCTTTTCATACTATTAGCCCCCCTAGGTGGATACCAGAGTTCTCTATTTATCCACTAGGCCACAAAAGGAGGCCCTTCCATAGTAGGCACAGGCTTATGAGTAAATTTCTTATCCTTTACTAATTTTTCTACTAACTGCATGGGAACAGGAGTATAAACTGGTTCTAGTAATTCAGCTTGTTATAATTTATTCATAACATCTTTAAGAGGCGCGTCAAAAGGAATTTCTCTTAATAATTGTTCAAATAAAGGGTTTACGCATTCTGGACACATCAGGGTGACTAGAGCTGATTCCATACGCAGGGAATTTACTATGTTTTCCTCAGAGCCAATTTTGAAGAAATCCATTTGTACAGCGTTTACACTTACTAGAATTTGTGCTACCCAAATTCCCCCTATTAATAGGATTGTTTCTAAGAAACCAATTATCCCTAAACACATGCCACGTCCTCATTCTTGACGATGCATTCCTTGAAGCCTCTGTCCCCATCTCTGGACCTTGTCATGCAGTAGGGTAGAAAGAGGACGCGGCAGCGAAGTTTGAACATGAACTGTGCATTAGCTAATATTATTTTATCAGTGTTAAGTTTTCTGATTTTGATAAATGTACTAACGTTATGTTTAAGAAAAAATTCCTTGTTCCCAGAAAATTCAAACAAGCATTCATGGATAAAGGAGCATGATGAATACAAATAATTCTTAGGTTGTTCAAAAAATGTATGTGTGTGTGTGTGTGTGCGTGTATGTGTGCGTGTGCGCGTGCGCACACACATGTGTATGGAGACAGAGAGAGACACACAGAAAGAGAAAATGATAACTCAAATAGGACAAAATGTTAACAATTGGTAAATCTGGATGGAGGATTTTTTAAAACTATTCTATAGCTTTTCTATAAATGTGCAACTATATCCAAATAAAAAATTTAAAAGGTATCCTCTAATTGGCCAACAAACACATGAAAAGATGCTCAACATTATTACTCATTGAGGAAATGCAAATCAAAATCACAATGAGATACCACTTATAACCCATTAGGATGGCTATAATCTAAAGGACAGATAACAGCAAGTATTGCCAAGGATGAGGAGTTATAAGAACTG